GAAGACCGTTCCTTGCGGCGGAAATTTCACATGCTTGAATTCGTTGACCCACCATTTAGTAAACTCCACTCGATAATCCACGGTTTGATCTTGAAACATGGCGGAGCCGAACGCCCAAACAGCGGCGAACACGAAGTAGAGCTCGTAATATTCTTTGTAAAAGTCGCCGGCCGTCAATTCCGGTTTCAGAAGGCAGTGAAGAAGATGGCACAGCATCTCGACGTGCGCCATGTCCGCTATGGGCGTTATTTTCTTAAACCTGGTCCTCAGAGTCTCGAGACAAGTGGGGATGTACTTGTCGAACAGCATGACGAGGTTCGACTTCTCGTTCGGCAACGGCCGCTTCTCGACCCAGCTAGTCACGTACGGGTTCCATCCTAAATCCTGCGGATTTATGTACAAAATACCTGCTCGGGACACCGTGGCGGGCGTGGCGGTTCTCAGATTCGAGATTTCGAACAGCAGTCTCATAGCCGGCGTCAGCGCGATTCGCTCGTTGCTGGCCAACGTGAGGACCTTGTTGTCATCCATGACGGTGTTCAGAGATTCAATCCACATCGGATCGATGTCACCGTCCAACACGATCCACTTCGGATTCTCGCCGCCCAGATTGGCCTGCTCTCGCATGATCACCGAAAAGAGACCGTCTTTCCATTCGCGCGTCGCTGGATTTATGATCCCGAAGAGCTCATCGTTGGTCACCGCTTTGGGATTGAGATCGTTGTACACCGGCCGCCTCTTTACATTATGATAAGTCTTAAACAGCGACTTCCACACCTGAGTTTTGCCAGAGCCAGCTATACCGACGATAAAGACGGAGTGTCTCACTTCCAGCAGCTCCTCGAGCTGCACGACTTTAAGAATGAAGCCGTCTTCCGGTTGCAAGCTCAGATCGGCGGCCGCTTGCTTCACCATCTTCTCGAACTCGACGTCTCTTTTTCTGGGAACGTCAAGCGCTGGGAATAAGTCCGCTATCAATCCCATGAAGACCGGCAAATCGTCCGACACCACTTTAGGAATGTTGAAGTCTCTCAGAGCTCTCATTAACACCTCTTCCTCGGGTCGGCCGGGATCGCCTCTCTTCAAGCTACCGGCGACCACCAGGACCGATTTTATCGCTCTCAAACCCCAGTCGTAATGATCCTGCTTAGATAACAATTCTTTGCACAACGTGTACAGGGTGATAAATTTCCTCGCGAGCACCCGCGCGTCCTGAAATCCCTCGGCCACCAACATGATCTCGCATATCAGCTCGAAATCAGGCACCACCATGGCGCAGGGACGAAAGAGGGCCTTCAGATTCTCCGGCAATTCTGTACGGCCGGCGTAACCGGGATTCATAGTGATGAATATGCCGACGGTCGGCTCGAGGCCGATCATCTCGCCCATGAAATTGAATTTCTCCTTCTTATCTCGTATGGCGTCTTGAATCGACTTCACTTGCACGGCGACCACCGACAGCACTTCGACGGTGATTCTATTGAACTCGTCGAAGCAACCCCACGCGCCGGTCTGCGCCAATCCCTTGTATATATTGCCGCAAGATTTGTAATCCATCTGCTCGGAGCAATTGAACACGTACACCATTATGCCGAGAGCTCTGCCCAAATCTTTCGTCGTCTCGGTCTTTCCGGTTCCGGCCGGTCCAGCTGGACCGCCGCCCATGACGAGGTGCAGGGATTGCGTCAGAGTTATGTAGCACCTGTCTGTCAACGGCGTTATGACCAATCTGAAAGCAGACGAGCATCAAACAAACAGTTTTATTGTAAATAAATAAGTAAATGGATATTGAGAGAAAACACGACGTGCTCCGACCTGGGCGTATTACCCAGGTACTCGTGCGAGTATTTGAACTGCGCGTCGCAAATGTTTGCGAAGCAATCCTTTTCCTTCTCATCCCATCTATGACGCAATTGACTCTGCCATTGAAAAGCCTGCGCGCTTTCCACTTTCGACTGCACCAGCTTCGTCACAACATCCCTCGAGTGCACGTCGATCGTACAGATGGTCATGACCTTCTGCCTCTCTTGCTTGGTCAACTCTCCTATCAGCAGCGTGATCAGAGTGCTCAGCTGAGAGATCTGTTTCTTCAAGTAGTCCTTGATGGAGTTGTCGTAGCCTTCCTCGAGACGCCCGAAGGCTATGTTGACCTCGGTGGTCCACCAGATTTGCGTCCCGCAGAGGGATACCTGCGCCGGATAGTCAAACAACCATTGCTCTCGCGGCTTCTCCTCGTACGTCACCACCGCTTCGCTGAAGTAGTGGCGGATAGACACGCGCATTGCGCTCTGGAGACGATTCAACCATGCCTCCACGGGCCCCTCGCAAATCATCTCACAGTTTGCGAATACTACATATTCGCCGTCTTTAGCAAACATGCCTAAAGCGTAACGGAAGTTTGCAGCGGTTATTAAATATCGGGATCAATATACGAGATATTTCTAAACTCGCAGATGTCTCTCTAATAAGAAATCCTCCGAACAATTTAAAATTGATTTTTCTTCAGCAAAAATGTCGAGATTTTTTCTAGTTATATCAAAATATTGAAACAAAAGATTTTTGCTCTTCAAGAAGACAAAAAATAACAACCATATTTTTTAGTTAATTTTAAACGCATTTTATTTTTATAAGATTTTAATTCGAAGCTTAGTTTAAAAAATGATGAAAATTAGAGAGATGCAATAAATAATAATATTCGACATTTTTATTTTTTTAAAATCGACTAAAATTAGTCGAAAATTAGAATCTGTCATTCAAAGGACATCCGTGAGTTGTGAGACACCCTGCAGTAAATTTAATTATTTACCTAGAACGCGTTTTAACGAGGTGTTCTTGTCGTCGAAATTCAAACGCGCCATAGAATCGAACAGCTTTGTCAAGTGTTTTGCCACTATTTCCGGTTGATTCCCGTTTGAAAGTACATCCAGCAAATCGCTGGAAGAAACAAAATAGAATCGTGGAAAAGCGAGGCGCTTCGTTTCCAGATACTCCGCCAAGGCTTTCTCGCATAATACGAGTCCTTTTTGCAAAACGTCCAAAGAGGATACAAGACCGTCCTTATTCGTCGCTTCAACGACGTTCGGCGTTTTCGCCATCTCCTCCGTCATCTCCTTAAACTGTTTGTCGATGTGATCAAACCTCTCGGCGTCCACCGGCAACTGCCGTCGGATATCCTCGGAGGACATGAAAATGCTCTCAAGGTGCATCCAGGTGCGCTGAACTTCGAACCATACTGTTGTCACTTGATCGGCGATACTCAGTTTCTTTTGCCACGATGACACCTCCTCCAGGAAATGCGCGATGAATTTCGAGGTGATTAGATTTTGTAATTGCACCTGCAATTCGGAAAAATGCGATTCTTAAAAAAAATTAATATATCATATTACACACAATAACATTTATATTATGCTGTAGCTGTTGATTAAATATTAATATACTGACTTTAAAATTAAATTATTAGTTAAATAATTAAAAGTTGGTTTTTTTTTATGACGAGATAATATATTAAAGCGCGAATTTTCTTTACTATCTCTAACCTGGTTCTCTTCTAAAGTTTCGATCAATTCTTCGCTGGCTCTTATTAAAGTAGCACCTGTCCGACTGTGAACTTCCCGTTCGAATTCCATTTTCGACCACGTAATTTTTAATTCTTTCATATATTTCTCCATGGACATTTCCTTAACCGCTTTATCCACGATATTTTTAACTTCTTCCTCGCATTCGTGGAGATTCAATTCGAGCAGATCGGCTAGAGTCGTCGATTCGTCCATTACGAAACGAACCTATGCGTAAGAAAGTCGTCTGACGACGCAGATTTTCGGAATAACAAGCAACTATGTCGATCATGAGATTTACTTTAGCTCACATAATAATCTAGAATGGCGAAGGAAATCGCTAAATAAACGAAATAATGAATGGTCTGTATTTGCAGCAAATTTATTAAAAAATTGTACAGTGATTTATACAATTAATGAATAATGATTTGTATAATGAAAGAATGGTGACAAAAATTATAAATATGTGGATTTTTAATTTCTAAAATTTAGTGCTATAAATATAGCTATTCTTATTCTCATTGCATTGTTACACTATGTGTGTGTTATTTGCGATATTTATATTGAATAAATTAAACCAGGATTAGGCATTTAGCATTAAGAGAAAGGTATGATTTTAGTGAATAACTGATGCACAGAGAGATTTTAACGAATAATTAAATCCTAAGCTATTTTTTTCAACCAGAGTGTTGCATGCTGTGTAATAGCCGTGTAAATATTTATATAAATATATCAAATATTAAAAATCTAATAGTATAAAAGGTAATAGTGCATATTTGTGAGGTACTATTTGTGCGAAAACTTCTCTTATCAAAATTTAAAAATTCCACAATGCATTATTAAAAATATAAAAGGATAAATATATCTTGCGCGTATATATACAGCGGACTTACGGTCATTTCTGGAGTCATGTTGCCCAATTTCTGTAACACCGATAGCATATGTACAGCGGTGCAACTAATTCTAGTACACGTGATTACATACACTCGCGTTACGGGATTGTTATATACAATTTTGCAGAGGGGCGGGGGGGATTATTTGAGGCGAACATAATAATCGAACCGTTATAAAAAATTATTAGCACATAGAGAATTGGCGGAGCTGGTATAAATTTGTATCTTTCAGCTAACAACATTAAGTATATCCTCTAATTTGCATGAGTTTGTATCGTAAGGAAGTGAATTGGACATCCGCTCCGCGATTTCCAGCGATACCTTGGTACTATTCATCAGTTGTCGCCAGTGCCTCTCTCGAATAGCTGGATTTTGCAATTCTCCCACGGCACGCAGTGACGTAAGCATGTTCTTTACCGTGGCTTCCAGTGATACGTATGTGTCCCAAGATCGCATTTCTTTGTCCAGCGCTGCGGCACCAAATGTATATTCGGTAAATGAAGTGAATGAGATGAATAAAATAATGTCAGCATTGTCTCAAATATGCAAAATACATTTTGCGCAATTAAATTGCACGAGAATAAGAAGTGCAGCGATGCTTCAAAATATATTCAGGGCATAAAATTGTGCGATTCGACGAAATTCTTCGGGGAGACAATTTCTTAGCCACTAACCGCGTATCTCCTTTGCGAACTTCTTGCACTCGATGTCCATATTCTCCACGTCAATTTTCCTCCAGGGCGTCGTCTTCCACCCCTCGATACTACTCTGCACTATATTTACATAATCCCAGAGCTGCTTAAGCATTTTCAGCTCTCTCCTGCACTGCCTCAGCTGCTTAAATTCGGGCACTGTCACCTCGAACAGCGAGGCGGACTCCTGTATGTCCTTCATTTGGCGTTCCAACATGAGTATCTCCTTGTGCGCTTCGTCTGATAGTTCATACGGATTCTTGCAGTCGTACTTGAAAAATGTGTATCGTCGAAATGCTTCTCGATATTGGCCTATCGTAATATCGAACGCGGAGATCCGACCGCGAATTCTGGAGACTTCACCTGTTATTTTTACATATCTTTGTTGCATTAATTCTATTAAGAATATTAATAGCAATAATAATCACAAGAGAATTGCACAATTATCCTTCGGTGTATGAAAAATACAGAAATAAATTCTAAGAAGTTTCTTCTCGAAAGGCAAATGCCAAAATACATTTTTTAATTTAAGAAAATTATATTTACATCAAGTTTATACATCTGTAATTAAATAAAGTAGGAAATATATTGACGGAAATATTCAATATCAATTTAATAGCGTCTTGCTCTACGAACCTGCTTGCAGCGGCGCAACTTGCTGCTTCACCATAAGAGCGAGCTTTTTCGTATTTGCCCATTGCTCCGGCAACTCTTGCAGCAGCACGTTTACTTCTTCCGGTATATCTTGATCGTAGAACTTGAGCAACTCAATAGTTTCCTCTAATGGGTGGAACATCTCATCCGTAGTCGGCTGACGTTCCTTCACTTGCAGTAGAAAGCCCATTATGCTGACTAGAGCAACGTAATCGCCTGGTTGTACTTGCTGCAACAGTCCCTGGTCCGCTAATCTAGAAATCGAACAGATTATTTATATTATTTGTAAGAGAAATTACCGAGTTCACGAAAGTATTGTATTTCTAAACTTTGTTATAACAATGATTTATTTTCGTAGAAATTATTTCTCCGAATGTTTCAAACATTAAAATTATTATTATGTAACGAGTGATAAATGAGGGACATTACAATGTTGAATATTAAAATTCTGCGCGAGAATACCGAATGAACGCTCCGAGATCCGAGAGGCTGGTTGTTACACGATCGACCAAATGTTTTTTGAACATGCTCGACCATTTGCACACAGTGTTCAGTACCGACTGTCTGAAGGGTCTTAGGTCTACCCTGAACCATCCGCGAAATACTTTAGACAGATCCATTTCCTCGATCTCGAGATAGAGGCTCTCGTAAAGGTCGATTTGTTCACGGAATTGGTCCATTTTCGGCGGCGACTTCGTCGGCCCTTTGGGGTCCTGAACCGCCACCATGTCCATTTCCTCCATTGACAATTGCCGGCTATATTCCAGGAATTGTTGCATCACAACATCTCTGTCATCCAGCCATAGATAGGCGTAGCCTAATCAAAACGTTGAAGCGTTACGTGGAGAAAAATAACGCATTCGCAAGATTAAAGTAATAGAACACTTCGGAAAATATGGAGTTTTTCGCTCATTTTTTAAGTTTACAATATTATTTTATATATTAAAAATGTTTATACTGATTATAAACTTAATAAGGAGAATATTTACGTAGAGCATACCCTCGAAATTGCTGCAAAAGTCAGTAGCCTCCTCCACGGCGGTAGCTACACTTGTCAATATCTCATCTTTCATTCCTTTGATATCGTCATCGTGTCTCAGTTCTTCAGCGTATCCTGCGAAATCACTCTTTAATCGCGGCACCAAGGCGGCCATACCAGTAATGTCGTTTAACAAGCCGAGAATCAGCTGATCGAGTCCATCGGGATCTTCAGGTTCCAATGACGGCATATAATATAAATCTGGCTCTCTGAGCTCTAATTTTGCTTCGAGCAATGCTTCGCACTGACCGATTGGATCCATGCTTTCTGCCAAATAGCCTAACGACAATCATAAAAAAATTAGTAGTCGCATTAATGGTTCATAATTAGAATTTAATTGCAATCTCTATATGTATAAAATTATTTTTCCTCTCGTAAAAAATCAATGTTAACCTAAGGAGCATCCAACTGCTTTTCGAAGAGACTCGATCACGATGTCGTCGATGTATTTCACGTATTGTTGCCAAGCTTCCTGTTCAGTCTCGCTAATTTGGAAGAGAGTTTTATTTTCCTCCAGTATCGAGTGTATCTGCTCGGCTGCTTTTGTGATCTCCGCGTAACGTTTCGATACTTTTTCCGAACGATCCTCCAAGGCCAGCAGTGTGTCTTTACGACGATCCTTTCGTTCTATGAGGGGCGTTTTCGTCCAAGGTTCTAAAATACTTCTGATCTTTTCCACGTTCGATTGGGCGACTTTCATGCGCTTCCACAGCCCTTCCACGAGACCGCCCAATTCCGTTATATATTCCAGAAGCCCGTCTGATCTCCAGCACAGCTCGTCCTCTCCTCGAGATATCAGGGAATCGATTCTCGCTACTTCCAACTCGATTAAGTCAAATTCTACCCGCCTTGTTGTTTTGCGTATGTTATTATACGAGTCGACTGTGCTACTTAGCATCGTACGAAATTTCCTGAACGTCTCCGCACTTTTCGATACCTAATTGTATAACAAGATAAAAGTGATTCAATATATTTAGAATGATATTAAGATTTTCTTATGTTATTATTTTAACATTATTTTACTTCAATTAAAATATATATTTTTTAGATTATTGTTGTACCTTAATTGCTTCTTGCGGAATGTCTGAACGTGACATCTGTTTTAAGTAATTTACTTCTTTCAACACCGCGAGAAGATCGGGATCGAAATTTAGTAATAAAATGCCGTCGATTTCTCTACAAACCAAATGACGGTTAAGGCCGACGTCAACGGTTTGCGGTACTATTCGCGCCCATTCAGTGAAAAGATTGTCCTCCTTATCAGCAAATATTTTTACCAGTCTTTCGTAACGTGCCATTATATTCTTGCCTTCGTCGTTGTGCACGATACTGCAAATAAGAAAAACTATAAATTATTATTGAAAAAATTATTAAAGACGTAGTTTATTTTTGAGCAAATTGCAAGTAATTGTCTTCATAAAAAGACACAATTTTACATTAGTTCTAATGAAAAAAAAAGATGAAATTTTAAGCTTTAAACATTATTTTAATTTATTTCGATACATACGGGTGTGGCATGGCTTTGAATGATTGTATGGGCAAGTCAACACGCTGCTTCAGCATGCTAGTGAACGTTAAGGCAGCTGCTAAAGGCGGCAGACTAGTCAAAGCACCTCTAGTGCCGCGGTTGAACAGGACTTCGACCACCGAAAGTTCCATGTTCAAAAGTTCGAGGATCCTGGTGTATCGATTCAGAAATTGTTTGCGTATAACAGGACGCTCGAGCACGGATCCGGCGATATTCATCAACTGAAAAATAAGAATAAGCATTTTTTTTTATGTATTTTGAGTGGCTTGTGAGATACGTATCGAGGAGAACCACACCTTAAAAACACTTTCAAGATTGCCACAGTCGTCGAAAGCCTGACACAAAATTGCTGCCAATTTGCTATCAAGATCAGTGATAGATTCCGCGAACTTAGTGCAGTCGACGACAAAAGATTCGTCGTCTGGCTCGAGAACGTCGCTGGCTCTCACAGTGAAAGAAACGAAAAGTTGCTGAAATTCTTTGAACACGCTTATGATCCTTGTGCTCAAGGATCGCCCGAGAATGCCACCTATTTCAATCTTCTCCAACTTGGAAAATTCGAGGACGGTATCGAAGAGCCACTCGATATCCGCTAACCGTTTCAAGAAGGCATCGAGACGAGTGAAGACGGCGGTCGAATTAAATGTCCAAGGTGGGGCTTCCGGTTTCAAGCCAGGCATGTGTTTCCTCAGTTCGAACTGTTGTTTGAATTCCTCCAAAACTTCTAATTAACAAATGTTTTCGAGTCTTGAGCAAAAATTGAAAGTCACCTCGTCTGAGATGTTATACTGCGCATTTCTTCGAAAAATTTGTATATTGCATTTAATCGTATTTCGATGTAACAAAATATTGCCGGCGATAATTTTCTAATGGACTTAATTTTATTTAAGTTAATAAATCGTCACGCATTACCTTTTGATATTTTCACTCGTTGAAGAGCTTCGTCGACGTCACTCTGAAAAATCGACGTTGGATCGAGAAATCGACGTGCCTCCTGTATCAATAAATTGCATATCTGTCGAAGTATAATGATAAGCTTGCCAGAGCTTTGATAACTCGTACATTTTGCCCATGCTAATCCGAGCGAGTGTATCAAGGTTGCCATAAGCGGCTTGGCTTCGGAGAAGTCAATCTCTTCTACAGACTTAAAACATTTCGTTAAAGGCGTTAAATACAACGCTATATCTTTTGCCTCGTCCAATGAAGAGACAACATTATCGAACAATGTACGAAAACAGGGATAGTACGCGCTGTCAGTCTTCTCGAGAATTGATGCCATTTTTATCACACGGTCTTCTTGCAGTTGATCGTAAATGTATCTGTAAAGAAGAGTAAAAATGTAAGAACATTTTTACATAACGTACTACGAAAAGAAAGATACATTTATTCAATAGTCTTATAACCATTAATTAGTTTGAAATTAATATTTATATAGAACATTCGGAACATATTTAAGATTCGTAAAAATTAATCAAACCATCCACCGCGTGTTTGGCTTTTATTAATCTGCAATACAATTTAACGACTAAATATCAGAAGAGCCTTTGAATAGAAGTATTTCAAAGAATATCATCTGCACCTCAAATTTGCCAATCTGGTGAACCAGTATTCCAGCTCGACATTGGGCGTGGGATTCTGCCCGTTTTCAAACGCGATGCTAGATTCATGAGTGACCACGTCGTTTACTAAGTAAGCCCATTTTATCACCACACCCTCTATAGCACTTTTCAGATACAAGTCAACCGACTGCGGTCCCTCCGTGGAGACCAATCTCTCGACTTCCGTCACCTTCTCGAGACCCGCTGGCATCGGTAGCACAGTTCTCCCGTTCACTTGGCCCTTCACCTATACATTTAATGATAAATATTATTGCACATCTATCTCGTTAAACTATTTATTGACACAAACAGTTGAAGTAGGTTTAGTTATCGATTGCTTTACTACCTGATACAACGTACCGCGGAGAGCGTGCACGTGCTTACATATATCGTGAATAGCTACTTCCGGCAAGTCCTTATGGTTTTCCGGCTTGGTGAGAAGGGGAGCGAAAATATTATCCACCAACGTAGCCAATTGATCGACGATCCGATGGGATAGATCTCCCACGATCAACATGGCCGAGCATCCCTCCTTGTCTTTAGGCAGCGACACTTGCTTTACCTTGACTGCGTAAACACCTGCAATGACGAATATAAATTCTTCGTAATTCGATGATATATTTGCAATGAATAACTCAGCACCGAACGATTAACAGATCGTTATTCTACTTGTATTCAACGTAATGAAAATATTGTTTTAAGAAAAGTTACGAATTCTATAAAATAAATTAAAAAATTTTTATTGTTTAATTGCGATTGAAATATTTTTAAATTATTTAATCTTGATACAGCAAATTAAAATTATAAAGGACTCACCCTTTGTTCTCTGGCACGGCATGGGAAAATTCGATGATGCCACCAACTGTGCGTTCGGTGTTAGGACGACAAAAAGGGCGGCTGGTAACGGCTTGTCCAAAAAGTCTAGTACCACATTTCGATACTCCTCGGTTAATAATAGCCTTCCCCATTTTTCCGGTTTTAATTTCAGACTCTTCTGCACAAAACCTCCGATGTATTCAAGCCGGAAATCGGGTGGTGCGTCCGGAGCAGCCATTTCTATTCACAATATCAGAGAATAATCGTATATCTTCTCTTTACGAATCAAGATCAATTTAAATCTTGAAATTTTTTTAATAAACAATACTTTGAATAATATTCAAAAACGTTTATATAAGGAATCATCTTTTATGAGATACAATCTAACCGCCAATTATATTTATCAATAATAATTATAATAACGAAAACCAAAGAAAAAAAAACCAGACGTAATTCGTTAATAATAATTTTTCAATGCACGATATTAAAGACCGACGACTGAATATTTTTCCGCATCGAGAACTTAAAAAACGGCCCCGGCGAGTTCGCGAGAAGAGGCGATCATAAACGTGAAATTCTGCTGACGCAGGATATCATGATCGTTAAAATTGGTTGTCGTGCAAACGGGTCAGGAAACCAGGTACGGACTGAACCGGCGAGAAGCATGGTCTATTGGACGATCGTGTCTCCCGAGTTAAAGCCCACTCGCTCGTTGGCTCCCTATTGTCACGGGACGCACGGAATATGCTGAAAACAACTGACATTGCACGCGATATCCGCCTCCGCGCAGCGGCAGGCACGATCTCATTCTTCCGAAGTTTCTTCAAGCTCGCGCAGCCGAGTCTTCCGGTACCGCTGGCGTGGCTTTACTGCTCCGGTCTTCTTCTACTTGCGCGATCTTGCAACGCGACGAGGATATTCGCCGCTCGCCGTACTCGTAAGTTTCGCAATGCCTTCGCGGATGTTAGCGTTGTGATAAAACGATGTTTGTCGCAAAGTTAGCACTTTCGCTGCTCGGCGAAGTTTCACGCGGACGATAACTTTGTTATCACAATTTTTACGCATCGAAGATTTATTTACGTCTTGTTCTCTATGTGAATGTTATTTAAAATTCGCATAGCTTGATCAAATACAATTACAAATCTTAAACCGTGACTCTTAACAGAAAAACTTTTATGACAGTTGTAGAAGAAACACACGATGAAAAAAAATCACATCCCGGAGTTGATTTTATTTTTTCTTTGCTATAAGCACAATGCTAATCTTACTTTAATCAATGTCACAGATAACACGCACATACGTAAAGCTCTACTTAATATGAAATACGATCGTTTGGAATGTCACCCTGTACCGTGCACCATTTCCGCGCAAAGGGAGGGATAACCCGGAATACTTCGATCGATCGTAAAAATTGCATGATAAAGAATAACTTCTTCTATATTCTTGTTGTGTACATTTATATTTTGCTGCAGTAATTTCTTTATATTTATTAATTGTAGTCGTACTTTTTTGGAATGAGTATGAAATTTAGATTTCATTACGATACACTTTAGATTTTTCCACCATTATTGAACACAGAAGTAGAAGATAAACTGTAACAATAAAATATTTAAACTCTGCAAAGTTGAGTAATTTTTTATGTATGATATTTAAATTGTTCAAATATCTGCTGAAATATATTTTTCAATTAAAAAATTTTATTTAAAAAATACGAGCGGTACTAAATGTTTTCTTCTTAAAAATGTTGGATAATTTTTCATAAAAAAAAAATAGCGCAAAT